CAGAAACACACGGTTAGAATGCATCGATAAACTTTTCGATTACCGTTATACCGCGCCAATCACGATAAAACTCGAGCCGGGAACCGTTCCCGAAAGATTATCATCGATGAAACACACCGTAACCACCCCCTGGGGAGTATCCGCCTCTGCCGCCTCCGTTACCACCACCACCGCCACCCCCTGATGTATCTTGATTCTCGCCTCTGGCCTCGGCGGCGAGCGCTAACTCGACACCTCGTTGTATCTCAGGTGGGATCGGTGGTGGTGTCGGGAGATGCGCGCCCTGGGGATGGAAGCCTTCCTCGTCCGCGGTGTAGGAAACGCTGTACTGCACACCGTCGGGTCCTGTGTACGAATACGATCCGCTCACCGCTTCCCCGTTACCTGAAATCCAGGGTAATGCGGAAATATATTATGTAATGGATAATCGACATGATTTATCACTCTGGGAATGATATACTCAAAGTGTGGTCCCTTAAGGACTTAGTATTCAGCTTGAAAGATACTAGATATCTAAATATTCTGTTTATATTTTACTGTTTGTATTGACTGAAAATTTAGGTATAAATCAAATCTTATGGAGTTAATGTAATTTCCAGATCAATTAAAAGAGAACTAGTGAGAGAACATTACTCAAGACAGATTTATAGAAGTGGAAAGGGACATAAACGTTGAGGTAAACATTAATTATGATTCCTATTGCGAACTACTGCAGAGTGTTTGGAGAGAAAATGGCGAAACGATTTTTCCCTCTAGATTTATTGGGACACGGTTTTTTAGAGTACCGCGGAGCACCGTAATAAGTACACCGCGCTCACCGCATCCCTGTTACCTGTATACCAGAACAACGCATGGCGTTTGACGCAACAGGTAGCGGTCGAGATGATTGCGTCACTCTATCGGACGTTTTTGCGGCTTTCCAGCTAGTTAGGAGCAATCATTGTTTGGTGATCACTCATCACGAACCGAAATGGGAATACTAAGTTTTGCTCGAGAGTCTGTCGAAAGCCGGAAGAAGGTCACGCTTTGGTCGTGCCGTTCCTACTCTTCACTGACACGAATCAATCCTGATATTCGAAGGAACAGCAACTCGGACAAATTGTGTAGCGACAATTATGAACAATTCAAGCAACAAGGGATGCTTTCTTATCCGTGGTTACCTGTAAATCCCATTCCCTTAACACTTAGCCAACCGAATGGGGAGATCTACCAGTTTTCACTTAGCAACGTATTGCCTTGTATCTTATTTATCTTTTCTTTTGTTACTTCGTAAGTCTTAAAGTGGGATTATTTGCAATTCATCAAATAGGGTTCTCGGTTTTACAAAATACAGATTCTAACCGAATCAATTGAATGAGTTATAGTTCTTTTTAGGCGGTCGAAGTGTTAAGTTAGTATGGACAGAACAAAGCCTGTGTTAGACCAAATGAGTGGTTCGCGACAAAATAACGTTTTTAAAATAATATTTTGGAAAAGTAGGGATACGTTCTTGTATCCCATAAAAAGGATAAGGGAATTTTGTCTATACTAAAATGATTGTCACTGCGACATTTTACTATAAGCTATTCTTCTGCGTGAGGCCTTAATCTTCAAAAATCGGAGTCGTTCCGAAGGAAGTCACATGTTAGGAGCAGCTGACTTATATTCCGTTCACCGAGTCTGTTGTAATGAGGATTCGAGGTCAAACGTGATGATGGATAGGAATTCATAACACCGAAACATGGCTGCGACGGACCGCGAAGAAGAGTTCGGGATATGGTCGTTGGGTATTGCGAGTGGCCCTGATCTCACCTTGCTGATGGCCCGTTTCCTGCGCAGTGATACCGTTTCCTGTTTCGTAGCTGAATTGGTAGTTGCCATCCCCGCCGTTATCATTGTTGTACGCGATGATGGGAATCTCTTGGCCGCCGCCACCTGGTCCTCCCCTTGGTCCACCTCCGCCGCCGCCGCCGCCGCCACCAGTAGCTGAAACGGAAATTAGAAGCGAAATTAAACAATCGTCATTCATTAAGTTGATCATTAACCCATTTTGCTCCATTTTAGTAGTACTTTATAGCAATATTTCCAAAAAACTTAAACATATTCAAAGTGTTTCCAATGAGAAAAAGTTTCTTCGAATATAAGTAAAAATTGCTCGTGGGGCGAAACGAGTTAAGTTTTTCCAAAAAAATATCATTTTCATTTATTTTATATTTTCCATCATTGCTCGAGTTTTTCTCCGGGCTGTTTTAGGAGACGTTGTGTAAGAGTTCGATACACGAATGGAACCAATTCCGAAACTTGAAAGGTTCCCAAGAACGAAAAATAAGATTAAATTATGCTCATTGCACAACCGAAGATCCGCCGCAGGGATTTTCGAATGGTTCCCATCGAATGGCATTTGAGCTATTCGCGATGAATCGGCTCGTTATCGATCGGCGGTGCGATCCATAGAATCTAGGGGTTGCGCCACGCAACTGGAGAAATCCGCGGTCCCGTGTACCCGAGATTTAATTCGTAATTGAATAGAGGCTAATTACTCAGCACAAAGGGAACGACACGAGATGTTCCGATGCGTTCTGATTCTCGCAACCGCGCGCATTCTCACCGGCTTCGAATCGTACTTGAGATATAGCCGTCCTCAGACGTCAGTGTGTCTTCATTAGACGCGAGCGCCTCGGGGGGATCGGGTGTGATTAGGCATTCCGCGTCAGCGGTTTTCACTTTTCTTTCGTTGCTCGGGCCCTAATTCCACGGCATACTTTACATAATTGATGTAACTCCGTCGTAGCGGGTGTCTCTTGCTATGTAATTTTCCAGGTGCCGGATATTATCGTTTCTCTCCGTCATTATGTCGCGGCAAGGTACATACAACTTCCACGCGAACTTTCCTCATCATTTTTCCTTCTTACCGAAGTGTGTAAATTTCACAATTATTTTTCAGTTCCGAATCACGGTTGCGTCGAAGATGTACGTTAGCAAATCAGACACTTAAGTGGAAGACATTTAAGAGCGAGATGCTGGGAAAATTCACATGGCGAACTCGAAGCAACGGAGATTACCATCTTTAATAACTACCTTACTCGATGATATGCAAAGATAATGTCTAGATAGAAAATTCTCTTTCTGAACGGGTATTCAAAGTTTCCTCTTTTAGGAAGGAGCTAATACTCACGTCCGCCGTATGCACCGCCGCCGCCTCCGAATCCACCGCCGCCACCGAATCCGCCACCTCCGGGACCACCGCCGCCTCCTCCGAAGCCACCGCCGCCACCGTAACTGCCAGGACCGCCTGGTCCACCCGGTCTACCGGGTCCTCCGGGTCCTCCGGGTCCGCCAGGTCCACCAGGTCCTCCTGGTCCTCGTCCTCCCGGACCACCCGGACCTCCTGGACCACCCGGTCCGCCTGGTCCTCGTCCTCCAGGACCGCCAGGACCTCCGGCTCCTCGATTCGGAGCTTGGATCAATCCGGCGCCGCCTGCGCTACCCGCATTACCGGGTGGAAGGTAAGTGTTGTCCAGTCGGGCCGCGTAACACGTGGCAGCTACGGCCAGTACCGCCACAGCGAGCTGTCAAAAGCGACGAGTAGATCAGATACCTCTGGTCGAACTTTCTTTCTTAATCTAAGCTAGCCAACCGGCTCCTCCCGATCGATCACTGGCGAGTTATCCCGAGCACACTGGCGTCTCGAATTCACTAACTCTGAAATCGATCGAAATCTCCCGGCGAACTCTCTCGACGCGACGCCGGCGGCTCGCGTGTCCGAGACTCGCGACCGGAAGTCGAGAGGATTCACCGTCGACCGTATTGCTCGGATAGCCGTACCGATCTCATCTCGCCGAAATGAATCGGACCCCCAGGGAACGCGAATCCTCCTCGTCGTTTGCTACTCGTCGCACAGCCGTGAACGTGTGTTCTATAGCCAAACCGATGGCAATAATTGGTCTGCACGGATTCAGGTCGGAGCGAGCGTACTTATATACCGATCCGGGGGATCGTCTTCCTCCCACCCGGCGGCGCAAGAAGAGCAACCTCGTCGGGCCCGGTGAACACCCGGTGCGCCGTGTCCCTCAACGAAGTTCGCGAACCCGGGGAGAGCGACGGGGAACGATTCGCACGGCGATCGTCGATGGAGCTGGTGGAGGAAGAAGAAGAAGAGGAGGACGCCGAGGGGCCGGAGGGCGGCCGAAGATGAGTACTCTCGGGCCCGGCGGGAGACGGCGGGGCGAGATGGGGCGATTGCGCAAGCCGGGTGATACAGATCGGCGGGCATCTCGTGTCGGACCTGAAGGTCGGCTAATCGGGTCGACATGAAAGTGAACCGTGGTGCCGGCATGTGGGAGAAACACGGACGGGCGAAGGGACCGCGGACGGAAAAAGAACGGTTACGGGAAAGGACGAACTCTCCGCGACGTTCGAGAGAAAAGCGAAGCCGGAGCGCGGAGTTCGTAGGCGCGAGAGCACGCTCGCGTCTCTGATATCCCCGATTGCGTAGCTAACAGACACGATCCCGAGTCGCGCGGTGCGTTCCTCCTTGTAATTATATCGGTCGCTCGGCGTCCGACATCGCGGGGTCATCATCGTCCGCTACACCGATAGCTGGCTTATGGAGAGCAACGCGGAGCCACGGCAACCGCTCGCGATCATTGCGCAACGAAGATGCGTTGCGCATCGACCGTACGGTGCATCTAGGTGTGCGATCGTGTACGTATTAGAGAAGGGCCGCTCCAAATCGTTTCTGGTGTTACCGATCGGCACGTAACTCGTCGTTTAACGATCCACCTCGGGTCACCTCCTCGATCCTCGTTGATCGATTGCCAATACCCGTCGATCGCCTCTCCGTTGAGACTCGCCTCTCGCTCTGCGTTGGGGTTCAACTTTTCGGCGCACCGATCGCGTCGCTCCTCGATGCACCCTGAAGAGGATCCTTTCGATCATCGGTTTCCTATCTGGGAACAGGATCCTTGATCCCGACGCCGTTCTACCGATTAACCCCCTATTGTCCTGTCCGCTCGACGACTTCATTTCGGGACGGTGATTCAGAATTCACGCTGAGATTTATTGCGGTTATTACCGTCCGCTCGTTCGACGGGGATAGAATAGGGTATCCGAAGGAAGAGACTCGCGGTAAAAGTTGTTAACAGTTAATGTACGAGACCCACGGAGCTGGAGTTTCGCTCAATTATCGAGGAAGCCTCTCCCATCGCCTAGAAGCCGGTGTGCAACCGATGCTTCGACTTAAACGCGATTCCCATTAATTTCATTTTGAAAATCACCGTTCCTAATTTCACGGGTTCACCGTCTGCGCGCTGCCAATCGTCCGTACATCACCTACTGTCAAAACGATCGGGAGATTAGAACCATCACGCGTTCAGAGCCGTCATCGTAATCGTTACATAGTGTTTCGCGTGTCTCGCCTTAAGGGCGAGTGAATGTCTTACGTAATCGGCCGGTACTTTCTTTCTATGAGGCTCATAATAAGCGTTTGTGAAAGAAAGTTCCTGAACCGATGAGGTAATCCATCGCACTCCCCCAACGGCCGATCCCGTAGCGCTTCTCGCGGTTATGTAAACCCTTTAATTTCTAAGATCGATTTATGGCGCCGAGCCTGTGTCTGGATCTGCCATTGTGACAATCCGGAGATCTGCTACCATTCCGTAGGTGAAATAGAAATCGCTGAACATGGAGATGATCCACACCCCTCCGCCAGTCGATGCTCCGATCGTCGAGTAAACGTTCGCTCGCTCGCTTGCTCGCTTTCGAAACACGGACTGACAGACAGTATGGAAGCTTCGTAGCCCCCGGTGACCCGATGCGTGTCTCGTTTAATCAGCTACTAAATTGTTCAAATTCAGACCTGGCGCGTTCGCCGGCTGACACTTGGAGGTCTGTTACGCTTATCTAACCATCGCCAGTAATCCATTCGGCCTGTAAACGTCTTCGCAGATTTCTCCGGGCAATCGGCACGCGGAATCGGGGATTCCGATGGAACGACGATGTCAGCATCATCGCCGGATTCCCACGATTCATCCCCTCGACGGATCGTGCATCGGGACTTCGGTGGCTTTCTTTACAGGTAACTGTCACTCGGACGCATCGATATCGGCGATAGTTTCATTCGAATGTTCTTAAAGTACAGGTAAATGAACGAGGAAATAAATGAGGGATCCTTCGGTGCTCTCGCGATTAAAATAACCGAGTTGAACTGACGGGGACGTATGAAGCAACCCTCATTCGATCCAGGAAGAGAGGAACAGTGCTTCGATGAAAAGTAAAGCAGTTCCTTTACTTTCTCGCGGAATCTCGTTTACGAGATCGCGATTAAACGGCACACGTTTGAAAGATAAGTAACAGACAATGCTAAATTAAAATAACAGACTATTTTACTTACGTGTATTTACTTTTATAAGTTTTTCTATTAGGTCTCAATAATGTCTATGAGTTAACCCTTTGCACTCGAAAGTTTTGACAGAAAGAACATTTTTCGAGATACAGGCGACATTATTCGAAACTAACTTAACAATAATTTACAATAAATTAAGCAACAAAGCTATTTCAGTTAAATACTTCACACAGTAATACAAAGTTTAATTTAAACTAAATATTCTACTTGTTTTGCTGTATCAAATCGAGTGACCGAGGGTCACCTCTCGAGCGCAAAGGGTTTAGTCCCTTTAAACCAGAGCGGGCCATTTCTCCCCGAGTTACATTGTAGGCGATAATCTAATATTTACGGCGCCGAGCGTGTTAAAAGTCAACATTGTATTCAATAAAGTTCATTACCTGATGAAACAGCAACGGACAGGATACAGTGAAACCGGAGTGATCTAATGATCGATAGGGATCGGTTCAGCTGTTCGGATTAGTTGATGTCAGGGGTGCGGCCCGGCTAGGAAAAAAACAGGGCGATCGTGAGCCGGAGCCACGATAATAGGATACCGCGAGCCGCTCGGGACAATGTGCCTACCCTGCACTACTCTCGAGAGAGGAGAGCACCGGCGAGCGATGCTTTCTAAACGGATCGAGTCACCGAACGCTTCGAGACGGCGATACGCTTTGAGAAGACCCAGCCCTTTGCCGTGCTATCCGCGCGTTCATCTATCTTTTGCTGCTCGTGTTATGCCAGAGGTGAGGTTCAGAGCGGAGAAACGCTTCTTCATGAAGCGGCGGAACGTTCTGTCACGGCATCGTCGGCGGGTGTGCGCCTGCTCCCCGACGTCGGCCGCTGTCGCCAAAAAAGGATCGCTGAGGACGAGCGAGATCCTAGCCGGGTATAATAAGTGGTCCGTGTTCCGTTGCGGCCGTTCCTAACAGAGACACCCGATCCCCGCGGTAAACGCCGAATAAGGAGTCGCGATGTTTCGTCGGGATTGAGTTGCGCCTCCGGATCACGTCGGAGGGTTGAACGAACGTGTACCGTTCGCTCAGGGTATCACTGGATCGGTAGACCGCGTCTGAAAAATGGGAGAATCATGGGAGAGAGGAAGCGTGTTACAATCGACGAGCTATTTGTCTTGGTCGTAGGAGTTAAGGATGCCTAGGGGGTATTATCCTTGAAGTAAGGACCCCATCTTCGTGGGTTGTCTCCTTTTCTCCCCTTGTACAGAGTATCATTCATAATCGCTAAGTAGGGGAACAAGTAAAAGTACCAAGTTCCTTGTTAACCTCGTTTTCGTAGGTACCAAGCACTGCGCCTGAACTTCCCGGTGAATCAGAGAGTCTAAACTTTGAGTGGCGGCGCAATGGCGCCTCGTTGCGGCGTTCAAAAGTAGCCCATCGGTTCGTGGAATTAGATAGAGTGTACTTAATTATTTATGTTCATTCCTTTCATTATCCAGTTAGAGACAGAAGCTTGGATCCTTTTCGACGGGATTTTAGAAGACCCGCGGCACTGAGACGGTTAGATCAGCGAGGACAATAAATGCCAGATATTCCGGCATCATTACGCGAACGCGGACAAGCATCGTTCAGCCGGATTTCATTGTTTCGCGATAGTTAAGGGAACCGAGGGGGATTCTGTGGGTGTTGTTACCCTGGCATTTTCCGTTTAATTATCTATCGATCGGACGGATCGACGGTTCGGAATAGAAGTCGGACAGACATCGAGGATGATTGCCCCGCGTAATTTAAGGCCGAGAGTTTCGTGTGTGCCGGGACATCTGCGCACGGCGAATATTTCTACACATTCGGGGCAGAGAAGGTTCAGCCATAATGGATTAAGAAACGCCGGTTGCTCGTCTACACTTGATGACCTGGCTAATTGCTGTTACGCGCGCATCGCGCCCGGTTACACGAACTCGCGCCCGCGCGTACGTGTTCGCGAAGTCGTGTAAAGAGAAATGATCTCGCGGGCCCCACCACGCGTATTACCGTAATCAGAATAATCAGAGGACAATTCCAATCGACTTTCTCCGTGCCGCGGATTCCTGCGGCGGTTCGGAGACGAGCGACGAGCGAGAATACACGGAAGCGGGGTTCGCACGTCGTTATTGAATAATGATCCCGAACTCGGGAGACTGCACGCGTCTTCCCTCCACTGCGCCGGTCCGCGTATCTGTCTTGCTTTCTTTGTTACGACCTCGATGCCGCGGATGATCGTACCATTTCGAAACAGCCCCGCGTCGGAGGTCGGTACATAGAGGAAAGAGGAAAAAACTCTGCGGTCGCGGCGGTTCTTGCGCGCCCTGACGCAACTGAGGCGAGCGCGGATGGACGGACGTTCCCGATGCTAACAAGGCGAGCCATCGCGTGGACGCTATCGGGGAAAATTCATTTTCGTAACACGATCAATCATCCCCCCCGAATTGACGAACTGCGCGTCTTTGAATGCTCGCCGGTGAACGGTCGACGCCACAGTTTGCTTTTCGAAAGACGTATTGCGCGGTGGGGTCGGTTTTCATCTTTCCTCATCCCGTTTTCAATAGCAATTTGCTGTTTGTCAATACGGTTGGACGTAACTAATCGGGACTATAAACTTCGGGATGTCTAAGCGTCCTCGTCTATCGTGCGGATATCGTCGATGCGAAATAAGACGCAAACGACTCGCGCCGACAGGTATCTCCGTTGCGAAAATCCTTGAGTCAAGACTTAGAGGGTCAATTCGTCGCTTTATCTTTCTCCCGGGGAGTCGCGTCGCGCATCTCTCCCGACGATCGGGATCAGATATATCACAATGCCGCTGAACCTTGCCCTTTACACGTAATCTTGATCATTGTAATTAGCGTCGCGTTTGTAAGCTGTCGCGGGTTACTTATTTCTCTATCAGCGTGCATAAAGGCGTAATAACGTTCACGGACGTGGCTAAGCGCGCACGGAAGCCTCGTGTTAGTGCTCACGAACAAAGACTGTCGTCGCTCGGCGAATCGGTGAGCGCGAGTCGAAAAATCGTACCCGCCACGTAACAAGAAATCCACGTTCACCGAGGCAGAGGAAGAAGAAGCAAAAGAAACCATGACTAGCAATTTCATGTGGTAACTGACGCAAGGTGTTCGTACATGGGAATTTTTAAGTACTCGCCGGTACTTTCATCCAGGATAGCGTGCGCCGTCGACGATCATGGTTCTTCGCGGCGGTATGTAAAATTTAAGCGTTCTCGCCCGCGGGGTAGCGAAATGTCGGAGTAACGATCGAGGCGGGGTGAGGTCGGCGAAAGGGCGAGGAGAACAAAGAAGACGCGTCTCGGCGGGGACGCCTTTTGTCAAAGGTCCCAAGGATAATTGGTCCGCCGGCTCGCGGACTCGAAAACCATCGGGGAGATATACTCCTCATCCGGGATTCCGCGGATCGATGGGATCTCGCGCGCGACGCGCAACGTTCCTCCCAACCGGAGGAGCGATCGAGTGAATGGGTGCGCACGGTAGCGTCGAGCCTTCTCGGCTCGACCCGGGGAAAGAAAATATAGTGCAGTCCGGTTGCATAATGACACGGAGGTGCATCGCGTCGACCCGAGCCGACGCGCGCGAGCTACTTTGAGAATCCGCGCGGCTCACAGTCTCTCCTGCACACCGTCGACGGCGTGACCTTTACGGCTGCAGGCGGGTAGGGGTGCTACACGACCAACCGGTGCACTCTGAATCAGCCCTAGGCTATGAAGGTGGATGATGATACAGTTTCTGCGCGGCGTAGGTAGCGCCGGCATCCGGACGCGAGCTGCTCGCCTTGGATGCCCGAGGATATAAGGACGGATCCGTCGCGCCTCGCCGCAGAGACATCGGATATCGCCGATCGAAGATGTACCCCTGCGCAGGTAGTCGATGGAATTGTACTCGTGCAATTTCTAATAACATAGTAATTCGATTTCTGAGAATTCTGTATGGATGGTTGCGAGGGATGATGCAATGCGAGACGCTTCGAGTTTGAAAATTCCAGGTGTCAATTACAAATCTTCATGTTTCGCACAGTTAACGGATTTCACTCGAGGAGACACATTCTAATTAGCTTCGACAACCGGCCGCGTCTAATTAATAGGGATACGGGTGATTAGGAGTGCGGAACGTTCGTGTATAATTTGAGAGGTACGTTAATTAGGCGGAATTAAGTTATTGCGCGATCCGGCTGCTTTTTTTTATTGCAGAAAACGACATCCTCAATTCTCCTTTTCCCAATTGCCAGTGTGTTTTGTCGCTGTGAAGTGGCTTCGGTTGAGCAACCTATTCGCTTTCCTTTGGTGTCGATAGTTTATTGCTGAATGTTTGAATTGAAGATCTCGTTAAGGATTTAAAAGGATTTTTTGGAAAAGTTTGATTCGTCGAAGGGGATCAAATCTATTTGAATTGCATTGTTAGGTATTGAATGTATTTGCCAAGTTGAAAAATGACGGGTCCCTTTTTCGAATTTGAATATCAGGTTATCCAATTTACTGTTTTACCCGGGAAAAGGTTGGCAACGCTTCGTTCGAACGGCTTCGGTTCTGACGCCGCCATCTACGGACGGCGTTGAGAACTAGCCGAGCCTACCGACACACTTTCAAACGATTCGAATTGTTCCCAACAGTTTGAGACGCGAAAGTGGAAGTTCGGGTTCTGTAGAATGCAAGAACCGTTATGGCCAGCTTTCGTTGAAATATTCGGTTACCGAAACTCGAGGATTCAGTAATTACGCGTTGCGCCGTCGAGTATGGAGGAGGATCAAGAGCACAGGCACCCGAATAATGTTCTTCTATTTCGACTCGCCCTATCGAACAGGTTCAAAAACATTGCGGAATCGGTTAGGTGAGTAGCGTTGTGTCTTGAGCTCCGATTACCAGTTTCTCAAATGCCACTAACGGTTGCGATATTTTCAAAAATCCATTTGAAACGTTACATGGAATACCGAGTTCCGAACAGTACGCTCTAATGGTGTCAATTTTAGAGGTTATGGGGTGTATTGCTTCACCAGTCGCGGTTCTTTTAGACGTTACAAACGCATGCGCACATTCGATTAATCTAGAAATTTAAATGTCGAACACGCGAGATTATTTAGTACGACAGGAAGTTACATATTACAGATGAGGGTGTTCATTTGTTAAAATATTAATTAAACAATGACGAGGTTATTATCGGGGTAGTTTTCTAAGGCGACTGAAACTTTTAATCGAGGAAAGTGAAAAGTTTTACCCGTGTAAAAAATACCGCCGTTACGTGCGTGACTTTCGTTAGTTTCATTAATAGGAGGGTGAAATAGGAGTTTATGCATGTCGTCGGTATTGGAAATATCGAATGAATCACACGGCTCATGATTCATTGTTCCTAGAAACTTCATCTATTTAGGACAGGGTGCAGTCGCGTTTCTGGTTATGTTATTTTCGTGGAAGCCCATACAATAACAGTACTGCCAACGTGAAGTGTGTCAAGTGCGGACCACGGTCAAGATTGTTTGTATATTTAAGAATATAAATATTGATTGGAACACGAACACGACAAACCAAGCCGGTGGTCAATCAGAATCGTGATATGGCACGTTTTAGACCGTTAATCAGAGAATACATTAACTCCTTATCTGTAATAGCTTATAATTTTCTTCATTCAACTGCTAATTTTTTTATTTTATTCCATCATAATCGATATCAATCACGTTGTTAATTATTTCAAATCTTTTCGATTCTTCACGAATGTTTAACCTTTAGCACTCTAGATTGGTTTTCTAATTTATCAGCAACTGCGACTAATTTTTATGGCATCTACTGAAAATGAGAAATGCTATAACATTCCTTCGATCTTTTATTTTCCGTCTCAGCACAAAATTTGTGGAGAATCTAATAATTTTAGTTTCTTTGATTCGTAAAAAATATTTGATATAACTGGTGCAATATTGGAGCCCACAGAGTTCAAAGGGTTAATATTTTTAACCATGTCTCTTCAAGCATATCTTGTATCGTGACCCAATATACGCGAGACAAATTAACGATTTATCAGTTCCAGTAATAAGCAGAAATAATTGCAGTATATTTTATAACATTTCTATTAACCAGTAGCACAGGCAATACCGAAAATTTGATTGCATCTCAGTCTAAATTGTTCTATGTAAATACATATGTTTCCGAGTGTCGCGATTCGTTTTATTCATTTGGCGACTCGCTGAAGGGTCGTGACCCAGACTTGAAAAAACTCTGGGTTAGAGAGCCGCGGCGATTCATTTATCAACAGCCGAGGGGAGAGAAGGAGGAGGAGGCTCGGGTCGTCGATGACCCAAACGACCGATGCTGTTACTCGATGTCATTGGCCTCTGTGACTCGCCTGTTAATTTGTGGTCGTTCACGTGGCCGAGCAATTGTCTGACAACACGTTTGCCAGGCCCTGTTCCTAGCGGCCGGTTACTGGCTGTGACCGGCGTCGGCGTCGGCGGTGGCCGACGCGATTTTCGAGTTCGATCCTTGAAAAATTCGGTTTCCGCTTCCCAGAAATTGTCGGTCTTTGAAACCCAACACACCAGTCGACCTTCGAGGAATTCCACGAAGTGTTCGAGGAAACAAAGGGCCCCTGGTGCGCGGTCACCATCGTGTTCGGCCGGCTCCCATCATTCGTGCAGTGCGTGTCGCAGAGATCGTGCGTGCTTCTGCTCTCCGTTATTCCCACGTTAGAATAATTCGGCGACGAACGGAACACCGGTCGACGGACATTACGCGCTCGGCCTCGATCGACTTTGCAACAGAATTTTCGTTGCCGATATCGTTATCGTTACGCACAAAATTCGTCGTCGTTTTTTTTCCTTCGCTTTATTATTCAGTGTTTCTAGTTGGATATTTTTCCTTGGTCGCTCGGTTGATACTGCGCGCGTTTGTTTGTATTGCGATATTATTTACGCTGCACGATGAAATATTCAACGGATTCAATTGCGTTTTTGCGACGCTGTAGGTAATGTTTTCGTAAATATTTGTTTAGTAAGTTTTTACTAGCAACGACGAGCTTATTGAAGTAGCGAATTATTTACAGCGGCAAGGTTAATGTGAAATCTGAATCGTCGAATATTCTTCCATTTTCACAGGAACTTCTGACCAGGCGGAGGCGCGTTCGAGAAGAAATCGAGCGGAAATTGGCACGCTCGGTTAGGTCCGGACTAATGCAAATATGTAGCGTTAATATCAAATTGCACCAGTCCCGGCCTGATCGGGTGCGCGTGAAACAACAACGGAGGGAAAAATCGAAGGTGTTGCCTTTATTCTCGTAATTCCACGCGGTTCCCACGAGAACGATAATGCGCAGCGAGAGAAGGAATTATTCATAAACCGTCGACATTTCGCTGTCGACCGTTAATATATTTTCCGAGATATTATCTGTGTCAAAATAGTTCACGAAGCTTTAGATCGATCGTACTGATCTTAAATTACATTTTAAATTACAATGATTATCTTTCGAGAAAGTTCCGATTCGAGGATCGTTTCACAACTAGCAGTACGCCAGCATGGCCGCCGATAATGGCTCATGTTTTGTGTCAATGTAAAATATATTGTGTACCTTTGGCAATCCTCAATTTTATTGTCTAGATAAACTTGTACTTGGAAATTTTGTAACGTTTATTTAAGATCCTGTATACATGGTGTATTTATGTAACCAGCGATTTTAGAAAGCAAGAGGCAATCAATATTTTTTTTTCTCAGCAACAATGTGTTATATGTTTCTATAGAGTGTAACATCCGTTAATAAATAAAATTGCTTATAGAATCGATACTTTCACGATTACGGAAAGGGGGCTATTTGCGTTTATTAATCAACGCATGACGCACGAAAAATATATACCGGAAATTGTGCAACATGATTACGTGTTGCCATTGTATGCTTATTATAATACTACAAAACTGGATTCGGTTGCCGGGACATACTGGTTCTCCCCATTCAACCGCGACGAGGTCTTCTTTGTGTGCGGTAAACAAAGAAAAAATTTGATTCCGGACGATAGCGGAGCCGCTGCAGCGCACACAGAGAGAGAGAGAGAGAGAGCCCGAACACCGTGTGGATCGTTCACGGAAGTACACGTTTACCTGGCCAGGTGTTTGGCATAAAAGGAACGTTTTTCGCTCGAGCTGCCTTAGCACGCAACACCGCGTACATATTAGATCCCTCCGCAAATTCGACGCTACCGTTCGCGTTTTAATAAAACATTCTTATGAAATTTGTGTTCATATTTACACCAGATTTACGGACATTTATTCTATACTTTATTCTATTGTTACTGGAGAACTGCATGTTCGTTTATACAAATCGCGAAAATTGTAGCTTCAAAACTGCAATGCGTATTCGCATAATTGCAAAAATGAAGATCGACTTGAGGTATTACTAAATAATGTTCAAAAAATTAATATCCATTGAAAAATTTGAACCATTACAAAGGAACGAGACAATACAGAATTGTAGAAATTGCTGAAGTTAGACAGCACATGGTGAAAATTGAAGTAATCTGTTATTTTTACTGTTACACGTTTAAGTTAACAGGTTTAGCCAGCGGCTAAGAGAAATTCGATAGAGCAAATGTTAGTTTGCATAATAGAATTTTAATTTTCTTAAAAGCCATCGATGTTTGAGCGTTAAGTGTAGGATTAGAATTCTCGGCTGGTGGTGAACGTGTGTTGATGTATGTGTAACGGAAACTCTGATTGCGTCACGGGCCATTATGTCGTAACAGAGGTTAATATACCTTTTAAACAGGGAATAATGGTATACGGTTATCTTTTCCATGTAATTGCTACCGCTTCGGAGTTTTCGGGCAACTGATCGACAGCTGAAATTTTTGTTACAGTAAGGAGACCTTTTCCGACATTCTCACGATATTGAAATCGAAACCGAACGTTGCGCAGAAGCTGCACGCGGCTATGATCAAGGAACTGCAGGATGGCATGATCGACGACTTGGAAAATATATTGAGCGAAGGCAGTTTACAGGAATCACTGGAGAAAGTTGCAAAATTGACTGACGCGGACTCCTCTGTACATGGAGAGGCTTGGTGAGTTGTAGGAGTACTTAATTGTTGGAATTTTTATGCGTTTTCCTGTCGTTAACAGAGTTCTCGCTGTTTCAGGAGACCACCGGGGAACGTGGCTCTGCATTTGAGATCCTTGGACGCGCAGACGATCAAGGAAGAAAGCGAGCTGCTTGAGAAACAAGTGAACGAAATGGAGGAAGAGAATGCAACGTTAATGAAGAATATTTCGGACAGGAGGTCGAAAATAAACGCCCTACACGACACCATAACGCGATCATTGAATAGAACGCCGAACGCAATTGAATTGTTACAGAATAGGCTGGAGTATCTAGAGGAATGTTTGAAGTTCCTGGAACATGAATAAGCAATGATGAGGCATTGCAATTATAGTAATTGCACAAGGAATGTGTATAAATATGTACATAGAAGATAATATCCGCGCGGGATGAAGAATTGAGATTTTATTAAATAATTAGTAGAGTTTTTATCTCAGGATTAGGATATTGTAAATAAGGATATGTAATTAGTACTGTATCTTCTTTATATGATAGTTTGATTAGGGACGTTCGTTTTAGTGATTCTAGAGTCACTAAACACTGCATTTATTTGTTCCCTCATGTCTGGTGATAGTTTCTTCCTGCTCGCCATTTTCTTTAATTTTCGAAGCAGCGCCATATTTTTTTTCTAAAGGAAAGTATTCTACATAAATTTAATGAATAAAACCGTTGAAGATCTGTTGAAATATATGTGGACATACTTCTTGAATAACGATTGCTTTCTTAATTTCTTCTAATTTTTTACTGTTGTCTTCTGTATGTTCCTGCAGCTCTTCCAGTTCTTTCTTCAAGTTATCCCTTTGCAACGTCAGAGATTCAATTTTATTATGAACAACTTTGTCATAAGAGTTTACCCTTTTAACACATTCTATATATTCACAATGAATTTGTTTCATCTCTTCCTGTAACTCTTTATATTTTCTTTCTGTGTCCTTTAATATAAACAATCCTTTATCTTTCAATTGGTTCACTTCGCAAATCTCTGTTTCTACAGACATATACTCATCACGAGATTCCTGTATATTCAACTTGATATTTTCTATTTCTTTATCCACTTGACGAAAATCACAGTAATTTAAAGCTCCCTGATCGTCATCATATTTCGTCACTGTTTAAACATGCATTTTGATAATAACAACGTGTTCTGCATACCATAAAGGCACATGGTACAATAGAATACATATAACAGGTAAGAATAAAAGACAAAAACATTGATCAGCAATTGATTGGAACAATTCCATTCTTCTTTACCCATAAACACATTTATCATAGAAAATACAGGGAAACAAATATTCCCCATAGCAGAGTATTAAAATCAATAGTTATTCTCAATCTGTAATACCGATCTTCGTGTCGTCAACGTTCCCATTATCGTGATCCATTTTTTTTGTTGTAGCCCCTCGCCCTGTTTGAACCAGCAAAACAACATGGCCGACGTCGCGCCAAGCGGTTCCCGCCTAAACGGACGCCGTTCCCTCATTGGTCGGCGCGGGCCAATCGGATCGCCCCTTTTTGCCGATAATTTGCCGTAACGGTCGCTAGATGGCAAGAGTATTAGCTCAGTCCCCGCTACGCGGCCGCTGTTCGCCATTGTACCGTGATTGCTGTTAAGTCTCGTGTTTGTGAGTGGGAATTGATCCGGTGTTACCGAGTTCTGGAATTCCTCTACGCATCGGGTAAGTCGAAAATTCCGTTCCCCGTTGGCGAGCGAGCGGTGCGCGGTACGCGCGCGCCATTATTCGCGATCGTTTAACACGTAAATCGCCTCGTCCCGGTGGGAAGTACGTGTACATTTTTTGGGGGTTAGTTTCCGACCCTCGCGCGTCTAGCCAGCCCTCTCCCGTGCGCGTGGTCAAGCCGTGTGTACACGGGCCGTTCGGACCTCGTCCGAGTCGAATTTCCCACAAGGTCTCGTCGGAATTTCGAGAGCGAACGACTCGGCTCGCTCGAAAGCGTCGGCGTAACGTTGAGGTTATGGGCGATTTACGAGCTCGCCGTTTTTCCAGCGCCGATATTGCGCCGCGGATTTTTCTGCTTGACCCCCGTGCCCAGTCAATAATTTCGGCCATGCGACTCTGTCCGCCGAAGTGGACCGTACTTTATTTAAATAACGCGCTCCGATTCGCATCGGCGTCGAGACTCTCGTCTTGACATTTAAACGAATAACTTCGTTAAATAATATTCAGGAATATTCGAGCGGTCGACAGAAAATACCGATGTTTTTCTGGAATTTACTCAATGTTTCGCAATATCTGCGTGAAGGAAAGCAACGTTAATGCGTACGAATCGAGCTGTGTACAGCAAAAAAATTCACTAGAGTTCAGAGTTCTAGGGGTACACATTGCTATAGTAACTTTTTAAACGAGACGAGCAGGGAACCGAACCGTAGGCTTCGTACGCTTTTCGTTTGCGAACTCAGCGTCGACGGTTGAACGGGACTCGTCGGCGTAACGGTCAAGGTGTAGATTTGCCCGTCCATGACTAGCTGGAACGTGTTCGATGCGTCCGTGGACGCCGGTGTCGGGATCCTTTATTTTCTTTTCACGTCATCTGGCGTCGCGCGAACGATAAACGGGCTGCACACGGATGCAAACGAATCACCGATATTTTTATACGCGTTATCGCCGTCGCGGCAGATAAGAACTGGATTTACATAGCCGTGGCTTGCTGTCTGCTCGGCGCCGCTGGCTAGCTAGCTGGTTCTCTCGTACAATGCCGCTCGATTGTGTATCCCTTGTTAGCGGGGACGACGGTGGACGCGATTGATCGGGCCTGAATTAATATTTGTAAATGATTATCGATTGCAGCCGCTTTCGTCTCCCTTTCGTTCGAGCGGCGCGAATCAGATGTAACGAACCGTTCGACTCTGTTAATTATTCGAATATGTGAGCGATCACCGAGTCCGATAACAACGTTAAACCTTGTATTTATTTTTTCCGCGCGTCGCGTCACTGATTACTGAATTCCGGAAGTTTACCGCGCGTTTGCATACTTTGCAGCGGTTTCGAAGAGGCAGGGTTTAATATATTCGAGGTTAGGAGTCTTTAACCCTTTGCACTCGAAATATTTGTTACTAGAAATATTCAGTTTATTTTTATGAGATTATAGATGATATTTTTTTTAAGTAATTTAACCCTTAGCACTCGAAAAATTTGTCACTAGAAATATTCAGTTTATTTTTATGAGATTATAGATGATATTTTTTTAAAGTAATTTAACCCTTAGCACTCCAGGTGGTTTCATAGTGTCAGCAACTACTATCAATTTTGATGGTGGTCCTACTGAAAATTGACAATGTTATTTCTTAGACCTTTAATTCCCTCCTCAGTACAAACTTTGTATATCTTAAGGTAGTCTTCTTATTCATTAAAATATTTAATATTACAACTGGTGCAATATTGGAGTCTACAGAGTTCAAAGGGTTAATTTGCGCTCGAAGGCGCTTCTGTTTATCAGTATAAATTATAATTTTCTTACTATGTTTTCCAAGAAATAAATCAAAGTAAATTTATTTGAATAAATGTTATTTTTTGATATTTTTTTGTAACACAATATTTGTGATCTCATTAGATAACTACTCTTATTAATTTTTTTGCATACACCCCAATCACTTCCGCATTTTTGGTAAATATCCGTGAAAGTTGTTTAGCATCCAAACGGTTAAAATAACGTACACTGTATCTTGTCACGATTGAACGCGCCCGCAGACTTCTATTCGTATAAACGTAAGTATATACACGCACACGCCTCACGTCTATTACCCGCGATAAATCGAGCCCCTCTTTGATCAATAGACTGCGGAATTTCAGGCTTTCGTGACATACAAAGATATTCTGGAAAATATTCTTACAGCGTATGACACGTTAATACATTGCGTACTGGTGACGTGAAATCTCGTTTTTATATAAAGACACTTAGCTATGCAATTTCGCTGATTACCACAGTTTTGGAAAAATATACAATTTAATTTGAATTGATTATCTATTTAAAATATATTACATAATTATATGATATCTGAGTTTTTGTATATATAGCGATATAAGTTGATTTCGCTGAAAATTTCACAACATTTCAACACAGAATCTAAACAAATATTAAATTCGATTCGAATTGATTTAAATGTCTATTTAAAATATATTACACAACAATATGATATCTGAGTTTTCTAAGTATAGTAATATAAGTGGACAGTGAAAATTGCCATTACAATTCAGTTTTCTGAAAATTATCCGGTACGCAATGTAAAGTTCATTTTTAATTCTATATAATTTTAGACCGACACCAATCACATTTAAGTCATATAAAAATTAAAGCAGATTGTCTAGAAGACTGCAAGCTAATTGTAACATGCCAAACGCGTCTAAATTTTCAATATAAACCAACAAATATTTTAACTCTTAGAAACCGTTTTAACCCTTTGCACTCGAGGGTGACTCACTCACCATCCGATTTCATACAGTAAAACTCTAAAATTTGATATTTAACACTTTGCCACGATGACTGGAGCTTCCAAATTGCCGAAGAACAGTTACAATAAGAAGCTTGATTTTAATTAAAAATATTTAATAACATAAGTAGCTAGATCATAGCGTAATATAACTACTGTAACACCAAATCATCAATAATTATTTTCAACATCATTTGCCGTTGTTATCAAAGAATGAGTATTACTATTCAAAGTCAATTCAAAAAACATTGAAATAAAATCACTTTGTTCCTCAAGATACACATAATTTCCCTTCGAATTAATTTCACAAAGTATCGTCTTTATCTCATCAGAAAATGTTGAAATATTTCTAGCGAAAAACTTCCGAGTGCAAAGGTTAACATCGAATTCACCGTTAACGGTTTATCGTAACGATCGTTTCGATTATATCTACCTAGTTAAAAGTGTTTTGTTTTTTTTTTATTTACGACCTCTTTATCGATTATTTCTGATTAAAAGTTCGTATTTAAACTGTCGGTCAGTTATCTGTTTATTTCACTCTTACTGACGAATTCTCGATCGTCACTCGATTTTATCGAAATCGAATCTCGATAGTCTCATCGTTGTCCGCCAGACGGTTGTGAATTGTCCAGCTCGAAGTTCATTCCGAGAGACGCGCAAGTGCACGGGAGAAACCGTTCCGTAATAAGTGACACAATGGCCGCGTTATCATGTGCGCTCTTGCATAATGTTTTTCCTCCGGCGGCAGTGTCTCGTGTTGTTGTTGGACAGCGAGCGACACGGTGCTACATCTAGCCGTGGTTTTCTAGAACAATGAGGATTCAAAGTTCATTAGACCGTCAACCTTTTCCACTCGAAAGTTCTTCTTGCTGTATCGAATCGAGTGGCGACTGAGAGTCCCGAGTGCAAGGGGTTATTATTTATTTATAATTCTTCGCTTCACTCGATTATGACGGTTTCCTGTTTCATCGGCCGCTGAATTTTTTAACTCGAAGCTGTTTCTCATTGACATTACCAGCACCTCGAAGTAATAACCCTTTTCACTCGGAAGCTTTTCACTAGAATCATTCGACAGTTTTTCGATGAAACGTGGACGTTATTTGAAACGAACTAATGAAACGTGCATCAAATAAGAAACAGCTGTTTTATAGAAATATTTCACATATTGATGCATTATGGGGAACTTAATATTATATACAACACTTTGTAATTTTGTTATATTATGTATAACACTTTGTGATTTTGTTATATTACATATAACACTTTGTAATTTTGTTATATTACATATAACACTTTGTAATTTTTTTATATTATGTATAACACTTTGTAATTTTTTTATATCAAATGAAATGACTGAGAATCACCTCTCGAGTGCAAAGGGTTAATAGAAAAAACCTATTAACATATAAATAAATAATACGCGCATGAAAAGACTCATAGACGTATCTTACTGTTTCCTATCGATTATAGATATAAATGTTGTAGTATATTCAATAACAAAATTTTACAGTTTGTAATTGCAAATTTTAATCTCTGCAACGGAGCCCTCGAGTACAAATTTAATTATTAATATTTCAAACCTATAATATTTATACAATCTTTAGTGTCACTGTTAACAGTGACATGGACAATGGAAATTGGAAAACTAGAACAAAATGTGAAACGAAATTACTTCAGTCACCATGGGAATACAAGAGGCGAACCTTGGTTAACAATCAGAGAATTTCCAAATTATTCAGGGAAATAATTCACTTAGTTATAAACGGGAACAGTGTATCGATTGGTCGTATTACAGTTCATTATTCTCGAGGAATTTCATTTCTCTGTATCCGCAAAGCCGTTAACTCGTTGTATTAAAATAACGAGCCTGACTCGTTATGCAGATTTCGAGTGTGAACGAATGAATAGCGAAATTATACATTCTTCGGAGCCAAGATAAAATATTGCTTATCTTTTAGCAATGCTTAACTTATAGGTCAGATATAAGTCTATAAATAACACGGGTTGAATTTTTTGACTGGAAAATCGTTAATGTTAACTCGACGACAGTTTTATTCGAAGCGTGCTTCTTCGTCGAGATATTTTTAAGATAGATTATATTATTTTCAATATTAGTAAAAAGAATCGTTCACGTTGCTATTTGCAAACTATCTTTTAACCCTTTGCGGACGAATGTCGGCATTTCGAGATGAAATTCTCATATTTGGAATGCTAAGTCACAAATAAGTA